ACTGTTCGAAGGCTCGTCGAGCATGAGCAAGTCGGGCTTGCAAAAGAGGGCTCTTGCGAGGGCGATACGCATGCGCCAACCACCGCTAAAGGCTGGGTTAGGGGGGACGAAATGCGTTGAGTGGGGAGAGGGCGCCGCTTGACATGATTCGCGCTGCTGCAACTCACACGATGTGGGTTTGCTCTGATCCTTGTCCAGGATGCCCAGACCACTCAAAAGCGAAGCAGCTCTGCTGGGTCCAGTATCGGCTTCCATGTCGACCAATTTAGCCTGCACCTCTCCCAACCTCGCCGTCAATTCTTCCCTCTGAATTTCCCTCTGTCTCGTAGGCATATCCACAGCAGCAGCAGCGCCAGGAGCGGGAGCAAAAGTGGCGGCGGCGGCGGCGGCAGTGGCAGCGTCGTCATCGTTGCGCGTCTCAGCAGCGTCCTTTGCAGCTCGAACAGCAGCAGCGGCATCCTTTTCCAGTTTGCTGAGCTCCGCATTCAAACTTTGCTCTTCGCTCATCAACTTGTCCCGCCAGACGTCGGCTTTGAGAACGGCATTGAGAGCAGAGACGGATTCGCCAGAGACTTCTTGCTCCACGTAGAGGATGGAGACGTGGGTGGGAATGGGAATCTCTCGCAGCGCCATGTTGCGCAGCAATGTCGATTTTCCCGTGCCTGAGGGGGGCAGCGCGAGATGTGAGTGCGGGCGAGGTGAGTGGGCGAGGTGAGGAAGCAGAGACTACGGGCAAGCGAATGTAATGCCCTCGCGCGCGCGAGATGAGGAAGCAGAGACTACGGGCAAGCGAGTTTGATGCCCTCGCGCGCGCGAGATGAGGAAGCAGAGACTACGGGCAAGCGAGTTTGATGCCCTCGCGCACGCGAGATGAGGAATGGGGCAGAAACTGCAAGAATCACGGGCAGCGGCGCTCCTCGCATCGTCACACCTCTTACTCCCGCTCCCGCCCCCGCGTCCGCTCGCACTCACCGTTTCTGCCGATCAAGCCGTACCTCCTGCCTTGAGCAAGCGTCAATGAAGCGCCAGACAAGAGACGATTGGAAGCAAAGGAGAGGTCGATGTTTGGCAGGTGAACATCCTTATTCTTGCTCTTGTTTGCCGCATTCTCGATGGGATTGACCTTGAGAAACATTTCCTCGTAGCTCTCTTGCCTCTTTGCATTCTCCACCAGCTTGCTCGTCTCGTACAAGTCCCTCTGCGCCCTCTTTGCCAATTTTGCCCTCGTCTTT